CAACTGTATATATTATTCATTTATTAACTATTATTAATAATTTTCATTTATTCTTTGTATTTTTATTTATTGTTTATGGAGTTTAGTCCTGTCATTTTTGCAAAGATCTTGCCATCCTAAGGATGAAAGAATGTACTAAGCAAAAGGCATCCAAAAGATGCAAGCTCTCTTGGCATCTCATGGAGGTAACCTTCCAGCTGCCAGAGTTTTAAGTGCTTTATTTCATGTTCTGTTTTCATTCAATAATTAGATTTTTATTAACTGGGTATTGACCTTCTGAAGGTTCAGTCCTTTGTGTGAGGACAAAAAGACTTTTATGCTGAATACCATCACTGATACATTTATTTTTCTAAATGCAAAGAATTGTTGCTAAATGTGCAACACTAACTAGATTACTCTGCCCCCTCCTCTAACACCTGATAGGATCCATTTACTCAAATCCTAAATATTCTAAGTGAAGTTGCTTGCCTTTAAAGTATTTTATATAGACTTTCTTCTTCTAAGGTTTTTATTTTTATAAAAGCAAAATTTCCATTAACTCCTGCTTTTAGTCAGGCTATAAATACCAGAAGAACAGTCTCTCTCCTGGTATTTTGGCACTTCTGTACCTTTTTGTAGCCAGAAAAAGTAAGTGGAGAGACATGAAAAATAATGAAAAAACAAAGAAAAGAAGAAAAAGTAAACTGAAGCACTCTATGAATGCCAAACAAAAATTACACACCTTTGGATTCCATCTAGTATTTTGTTTGCTTACAAACATGTTTATTCCAAAGCATCACTGCATGTGTTACTAAAACTTGTCTAAGCCTGTCTCCATGCCTGGCCATTTAGCAGAGCTCTTTCCCACATTTTGGCACCTGATTCACAGTGTGATAACTCCTATTTAACTTCTACTGAAGGTGGAATTTAGTGTGAAACACCTGACCTAGGATGTTCTGTAGTTAAGTTTAATCCACTGGTCCTTATTTGTCTGAGATTCAGGTAATCTCAATTCAGTTCCTATCTCCTCCACAGTCCACTCATATGAGTCTGACAGATTACTTGGGTGGTGCCTCAGATTCATTTCTGCATAATGACTGTAGGATTTTTTTTTCTCTGCGCAAGTCATTATGTAAATAAATCAATAAATCCTCATGAGATGTTTCCATATCTCAAGGGTCAGTCACAGGGTATATTATTAGGCTAACATGTGATTCCAAAGCCTAAAAAAAGAAAAAGGCATTATCATGCCTCTCCTCTCTCTTTTTTAAACATCAGAAATAATTTTGATCAAGTTGTTGGATTTGAATATTGGATTAAACTCTGATTCAACTATTATCTGCTCCAAATCTATTTTTCTAACTCAAATCTAAAGCAGATTTTCAATGTCAATAAAATCTAAGAGAAATAATAGGGCACACAGAGAGAGACACTCTGAGATAAAACAATGTGGGCAAAACCAAGCCTCTTGCTCTGCAATGTCCTCATGCAGTGTCTCCAATAGAATCCAATGCAACCACTACTGTGCTACTCACCATCAAATATTAGTCACAACTGGGCCCTACGTTATGGTTTACCATTCAGGGTCATCTGAAGATCCAGATGCAAACAGTGCTGTACAGTCAAGCTGTCTTTAAAGAGCTATTTCCTTGGTGCAGCTATCTGAAATTATTTGTTGGCAAGACCATATCGAGATGCCCACTCTTTGACCACTGCCTTGACTTTAGGGAGCTAGGAGACACATTGGATTAGCAAATAGAGTGATTCTTAAAACTTCCTTATCCCAATTTTCCTTTGCATTCATTGTTTGTTATGGCATCAATTGTGAAGGCTATCCAAACCTGTGGGAGAACCAGACAATCCTAATTATAAGAATAAGGACATCAGAGAGAAAAAAACCCAGCAGAAGCTTCCCAGGGCAACTCGCCTTCAAGCTGTTGTTGAATGACCACCTCGAGGGGTGACAGAGCATTTCAGTTTCTGTGGGTCATTCAATCCTATGGCTTTCTGATGAGGTTTCTAATAAACGAATACAATGATAATGTTGTTTTCTCATATATAACACCATTCCAGTATGTCTGGTAAGCAGGTCACTGAACACCCATCATGAAGCAATGACTTCCAGTTGCTTACTGTACACGTCAAATTTTATCTTTAAAAACCTCCACTGTGTAAAGGCCTAGCACAGAATTAAGTTCTCTCTCTGCAGATCATCACAGGAACTCAGTTGTTATGCATTTACCATGTACCTTAGCTTTCTGTAGTCCATTTCAGCTCCCACTGAACAAATTCCTTCCTACTGTCTCAATTGACTTCAGTCATATCTCAGTTTATCAGTGACCCTTCATATCTTCAAGCAATAGATACAGATGCTTCCATCTGTCTTTTGTTGGATGATTCACTGCCTTATTCCTTCTCCTAATTTACAGTTCTGCTGATTACTCTCAGAGATCAAACTCTTCTACATCATTAAGATCTAACTATGCTCTCCGCATACCAGATACAGTCATGCTGTTCAACAACTACAAAAGGTAAAATAATTCAAAGGAACACATCAAAATGTCTCACCTTCCCATTACAACTATTTCTCAATTTTAACTAATCTTTTCTGTATTCCTGCTTCTGTTTTCCCCTAGTTATAAATGACTTTAGTATCATTTGCTTTTTACTTCACATTTTTCTGTCTTTTTATGGCAAAATATCCCCCACCCTTGAGAACCTTCTACCTGAACCACAGGAAATGTTTACAATGCAACTGCATATTAACCTTTTGGGTTTCTGAATTTGCTAAAAAGGTGTATCTCAGCTCAAGTTCACTAAAATCCTTGTTGAATGCTAAGTAAGCCTGACAAGATTTCCAGTTCTTCACTGAAAGCAACGAGACATACGCAACACGATGCACAGTGAAAATCACTCCTTTCAACTGACTTTTGTTTTGATGTCCATGAATAGATTGAGTACCAAGCTCGCGGCAAAAGCCAAAGGATGTGTATGGAAGCCTGAAGATTGAAGGTGGTGAATCAAACCCATCAGATAATAGGGTCTCTTTGCTCTGCAGATAATAAATATCATAGTATCTGCTAATCTAAATCATTGAAGTATGCCTAAAAATCTACTCTCTAATACACTCATGGAGGATCTGTGTTATATTTCTACCTGGAAGATCCTGCTCATTTAACTTGCATTATGCATTGACAAGGGCTGATCTCTGTTCATTTCCTGGAGATACCATATTTTCAGTCCAGCTGAGTATATTCTAGAGTTAAATTACTTTGTTTTTTCATCATCCAGGTATACTGACTATCTATTAGAGTGAAACAGTTCAGCTAAGTTATTCTCCTTTCATGCTTTTTTTTCAGCACATGTCAGCTGAAAGGGATGCTAAACTACTGAACTTCATGTTTGTTTGGAAACTGCCTTTTAATCCACTTAACGAGTCTCATCCAGATCTTGAAGAACAAACAAGCAAAAGAGCTGGATTCTATCATGATTAATTACACTGGAAATCAGTCCCAGGCTAAACATTTACTGAATCCCTAATCCCCGTTAATGTTTTTACTGCATATAAAAGCCAGCTCCACAGAAAAATATATAGTATTTTTATTATTATTATTATTATCTTCTTTTGTAATTTTTTGCTTGTTTGTTTGTTTGTTTTCCTGCAGCAAGTGCTTCCTTGGGAAAAAGGTACTGGTAAAAAGCAGAAATAAGACTTTTTGGTGTATGTTCATAAAGGTAGTATTGCTAACAGAGGATATATTTTAGCCTGGGATAAACCATGGAAATAGGCAAAAAAACAGGAGGTTTATTTGATATAAACAAGCCAACTAGGGCAATCAGCACGTGCAGAACACCAGAACCATGTGGGAAAGTGGGTAGCAGCAGAAGGTGATGCCACAAAGAGGTACTGCACAGTGTATGACAGAAAGGAAGACAGACAATCCAGTGTCAGCTCATTCTCTTTGCTTAGTCTGGCTCATCTAACCAGAGTGTCCACTTTGCTTTTGCTCTTGCCTCATGCAAACGTTCCTTTCTTAGCATGTTGATGAAAGTGAATATGCTTTCAGCACATGCTAGTTTATAGCAATCACTGCTTACACCAAATGTTTTTGATCACCCACTATGTTAGAACAATTCCACAAAAAAGAAAATCTGTGTGATTTTTCACTCACTGTTGTTGTCTCCTCTTTGTCCTAACTTCCCAGAAATGCTAAAAAGATGGATGGAAAAGTAGTCAAAAAGCCACAAATGGTGAATGACATTAAACTCTAAAATCTTATGTTCTTTGGGTACTTATCCTTCTCGTAGTAGTCACAGTAGTCTCTGCATATAAGGAAAAAAAACCAACCAAAACCTGAGAAAGATAACCACCTCTTAAACATTGTATTTACTAAAGTGTGAAATCAAATTGCTCAAACTTGGGTGCTGCAGATCAGCCCTGTGGCCACACTACACCATTGAAAGAACACCTTATAAACGTGCTACCTTTTCTCCCCAGTAAAAGTTAAGCTCCTCTATAACCCCTCTGCAGCCACCCATCAGGATACATTTTGTTTTCAGGGCTGTGGAAGGATAGTACACAGCATAAGAGAGAAAGAATTTAAAAGGCGAAACATCTCACACTACTTGCTTTATGAATAATTTCAGCTGCAGATACAACTATTAATCTTTATGCCACTTTGCAGTACCTTATAGCATTTTAAGCAGTCTCCATTTGAGGTCCTGAGCTGACTTCTCTAGACTTGAATAAGTACTGTCATCAGCTCTAAAGCACCACAAACCATTCTTCTTCCCTTACTGCAAAGGACATTTCAAGTTCTGTAGAAGACATAGTCACCCACTGCATACATCATTTAACAATAGTAAGAGGGATATATGCCAATCATAAGTATACACCCAACCTACTATGAACTACCAATGCATGTCTGCCTACAATGTATGTCTGTCCTGGTTCCTAGATCGATATACATAAATATTTGCACATTTGCTTATCGTGAGAAATTTAATAGCCATATACTCACATGACTTCCTGTTTGCTCGTGACCGCTTCCTCTCTCTAGGCACCGCTCGCTGGCTTGGCACTTGGGTGGCGGACTTTACAATGCGATCCATGATCTCATCTGCTGCGTCATCTGTTGCATTAGGTGAATCATCATTGCCAGCATTCCATGAACCGATACGGCCTGGAAAAGTCCAGCAAAAGAGTTGAGGGAAAAGAAGACAGAAAGTCCCTTGCATAATTTTGGTTTTGCAATCAGGCTTTTTGGGGATTTACAGCAGGCAGCTCAATCATCGCTACTTCAAATTGGCCAAAGGAGAAGACTCTGTCTAATGGAGAATATTTCTAAATAATAGCCCACACTCTCTGCTGTATCAGCAAAGAACCGAGAGCTCAAATGCAATAATAATTTTCCCTGTAGCCTCAAAGTCTTATTCTTGACCATACAACTGGCAAATGTCTTTTAGAGACTATCTATAAGCCAAGGATTGCTAGTGTTGTGTGACCATGTTTCCCTCCCTATTACACAGAGATTAGAAGACATAGCACATGTTAGTAATTTATGCAAATCAGCAAGACAGGTCCTTTGTACTAAAAGAGAGAGAGAATCAGCTTCTGAGCATCTGTATCACAGCCCAGTGCAAAGAAGACATGAAAAGGGCAAAAAGTGTGGTTTGATATGTTTCGTTGTCCCTTCACAATGAAGAATTCACCTTCTCATCACAAAGCTGTATGTGTCCTGGCACAGCTGCATGCGCTCTGTTATAAGCAGGAAAGCAAGAGTCGCTGGCAAGCTGAAAAGCTAAATAAGCAATTTTGGTTAAAACCACAAACAAACAAGTGAGCCATGTCTCTGAAGCCAAAGCTCTGTCACTCCTTAGTCCACAGAACTGTGTCAGATACATCTTTGGGTTCCTCCACTACAGACTACTGTTCTGTGTGCTTTTGTTTTTAAATAATTTGAAGGCTAGTGTGCAGTGTGAAAACAGACAGCAAGCTCTGCAAAAGAGTGGGTGTGATAGAACTGCAAGCAGCTGGCAAGGCCACTCTGTGTCACGTCCCTGATGTCAATAAACAACAGCTTTGATTAGCACTTTGCTCTGCTGCTTGTCTCCTGGCTCTCATCAAGAGCAATCATATTATGATAATACTCCTGACAAGCTTCTGTCTGGCTCATCCATCCTCAGCCTCTGCTGTTCTTCAGGGGAGCACAAGCTGACTCATTATCAGGACATACTACTCGTTAGCATTCAATGAATTACTTCAGTTATTCAGCTTTTTGCAATGCAGCTTGGATTATTTATTTAATCTTTTTACTTTAGCTAGTTGACTTGCTCCTTAAATTGGGGATGTGAAACCTCTAAATTAGACAGGATGATGGTTTCAAGCCTTAATAAACTACACGCACACACAGACTTAGTGGTGGATTCTCTGGACAGGCTATCAGTAGTATTAAAAAAGAATCAGGAAAATGTAAGATATCCTGATGTGAGGAAAAAGAATACCAGAACAGAAAACTTAAAACTTGAATTTTGGTGCATCACCTTTACTCCAGAACCATCTTCCAGGTATCACGTGTATGTGAGGGGGTGAGGGGAAGATGAAAGAAAATAAACTGGTGAACCCAGTGTCTGTAAAATGGTTTAGCATAAAGTGGTTTAGTGGCTCCTTAAATAAAGAGGTGTACCACTGAATCACGTCTTGGACAAAAAACAAGGCTATTTCATTGCCAAGAAGGGTTGTACCAGTGAACTCTCTTGTCAGAGTATCAGGTGTTGGAATTGGTGGGTTGGGTCAGGTTTTCATTTCTTCCCTGTCAGCTTTCAGCAATCACCTGTGCTACCACTTGGAAACAATAAAGCACCATGGATCTCAGAGAAAGAGGTATCTGTCAGGACAGCAAGGAGGTACAGGGCTGTCCATAGCAGCTTTTTATGCTCCTAGGCTCTACTTAAGCCACTACCTTTGCAGTTAAGCAGGGAGGTGGTTAAAAGATTCATCACCTTTCTCCTGCAAGACTATTTCACTTCAATTTGAATTGCTACTTTCTACATGCTTCTATTGAAAATAAAAAGAAAACCACACCATGGGTCTCCCATTTTACCTTCATGTTGAGAAAAGGAATAAAAACTGGGGTGTTAGTGGGCAGTGACACAGGGGTGGGGGAGAGGTGTGAATTTCTCCAAGCCTTTACTCCTGATGCCCCCAGGCACTACCTTGGCTCTGATCCACATGTTAAAACTTCAGGCAAATTCTCCTATATCCCTTTGCCCCAAATCACCACCTCCAATGTGGAAACACCACTGGGGTCTTCTCCTTCCCCTTAGAGCCTTTCTGCCACAAGCGCTACCTCAGGGAGCCACGACCTGCATTTAGGCCACTGTGTGGCTACTGCACCACAAGGAATGAGGACAAAAGGAAACCACTGGCACTTACCTCGGCTGGCCCGGCTTCGTGTGCGGACCCCGAGGGCCGTGGTGCTTTCCCCGCAGATGGAGGAAGTCTTCAACACAGCCTTCATGTTCTCGTGCTCTGCAGCATCCTCGGCATACTGCAGCCCCTGGGGCTGGCTCTGGCAGGGGGGCGAGCTGCTGGAAAACTTGCCAGACTGTGGGAGGAAAACGTATTTGTTGTTTTAACAGAAAACAGCACAGAGAAAAGGCTAGAGTCTGACAACGAATTGCAAGGAGAAAAGTGTCCTCCCAAACTTGGTTTGGACTGCAGCTATGCCCAAAAGAGCCAGGCAACAGTTGCTCCTCTCCCAGAGCATGCACCCGGAGCAGAAATAAACTGGAAACGGGGCGACAGCAGGGAGCAGACACAGTCAGAGGAAAACCAGATGCATTATCTCAAGCTTTATAATTTTGACCTGTCTGAGAGTATAAGGTACAAAGCAAAGACTTGCTTTGAAACCTTTGACCCAGGCTGGGCCCAATCTGTGGTTAGGTATGGCGTTGAGGAGGACAGCATAAAACTTGACATAAATAAGAAATTGCTTTTTTTCTGCACAGTCACCTTTCAATAACAAGGCAAAACGGGGAGAGTAGTCTAGGAAGAGAGACCTTTTCCCCTTGCCTCTGCATTGCTACACAGAAAACTCTCAAACTGCTCTAAAGCACAAATACCTACAAATAACCTTAAAATACATTACCAGCAATGCTGCAAAAATCCCTGCTCCCATAACACCCAGCCAAATTATTTAATGGCCAAAACACAAAAATTGCAGTCAGTAGTTAGAAGAACAAACAAAACCTTACAAGAGATTCAGGAATCTGCCCTCTGCCTCCCCAGCCCCCTCTGTGATTTCCCTGTCACCAGGACTACGTGAACAACAGTGGCTACCCGAGCTGGGCAGGCACAGTGCGGGTATGCAGCAGCTCCATTGGATACTGAAAAAAAGCCATCTAGAAACAGATGAAAACAACAGAAACTGCTACTTTCTAATGAGAAGAGGAGCTTGCATTGTTGGGCTACTCTCCCTTCCCAGCCTCTGCCTATAAAGGGCTGCAGTGTTGGTATTCACTCCACTGCTCTTATCTACAGAAAGGCTCAAGCACATTTAAAATACAGTCCTAGCTGCAGAAAACACCAGCTCTGTCAACAGCAAGAAGGCATCAACAGATAATATAAACCCTTGGTATTGTCAGTCAGCATCAGAAACTGAAATATGTTTTATTTTTCCTTTTAATCTTTCTTACTCTGATCAATGCAGCAGAGACGAAAGAAGGTGTGCTGCATTCTCTTCTTCCTTCGCATACTAAACAACATTAATTATTCACTTGATGATATTGAGCCAGTCAGTTAAAGGGATGAGAACCTGCAGAGGCTTTCTGTCAGCGAATGGTAAATTGGAAGAAATGACTGGGCCCTACTTTCAGAGCCTTGATTGAGTCCCTGGGGCTGACGAGACTGCAAATTCAAAATACTTAATCTGGTAATCACTGACAGGATGATTCTATTTGAACATAATGTCTTTTTGGGATACGATAGCAAGTTAACTGAGGAGCAAAACAATAATCCCTACAAGGCACTGAGCTAAATATACCAGTGTGAGATGTTTTTTTTGAAAGTGAGATTTTTGATTTCTTGTTAAAATGTTAGCTTGCATCATTTTGACATGGAAAGTATGCAAGTGCTAGAGTTTCACATGTGAAATTAAAAGACAGAAAAACATTAGAGAGGAACTTCTATGAAAGTGCATGCCATTTTTGCATTAAGCATACTCTCTTATACACAATGGTTTGTAAAGCTAATCAATACTATCTCAGAAAAAAAACCCAAACCAAAACAAAGGATAAAGTCTTCACATAACTGTTAGCTACTATTCAAATGTTAGTTAAATGTTGGCATAAACATGCTAATTCATATAATTTTCTTTCTGTGCACCAAGCTATACAGCACAAATAATCTCTGGGGGAGAAGCTCTATAGTCAGAAGTTTTATTTAACTTTCTTAATTTTCATTGCATTGCATAATAGATGCTCCTCAAACCAATAAAATATTTTATTATTAATATAGCTAGTGCATTATAACTCTTAAGTTATTTATTCACTTCTTTATTAATTTTTAACATCAGCTTCAGGAGCACTTTATGATAAATACATGAACCATTGCATGGCTCATGCCTATGGTGACTGAAGTATCTTATTCACAATTCATACAGCAAGGAGAACCATTACAATTTGCTCTGCATCCCTATATCCTGATGCTTTCAAACACTTTATAAAATAATACCATTTGGACTTACACAGCTTAATAACGAGTATGAAATTATCATGGTAATCCGTAGCCCAAAGTAACTGATGATCCCTATAACATTCAGATCCCTGATGTTTTGGGTAGTTTGCAGTCTAGTAAACAGACATTAAGGAAAAGAAATTAAGAAACTTGAAATTGTTAAGGCCTCAGATAGGATATCCTTATTCAAGGGAGCAGGTATGCACATGGTTAAAGCTGACTGTAAAAATGCATTCTTATGATTGAGCCAAAAGCTGTGAAGAAAATGTCATGGTTCACAGTTCCAGCTGAGTAGATGAAGTTGAGCAGTCCATACTGTCTGAGTTAGAAATTAGATGCCACAGCACACGGGGTACATGGGAATGGCATGCTCTTTTAGGGAACCATACCTCTGCATCCTCTTCTTCATCGGTCTGCCACCAGAAACAAAGGACAGGGTGGAGAAGGACAAACAGCAAGATTTAGGAAAGACAGTATGGTCAAACTATGATAGAGTAAGAGGTAACCATGGTACAGTTTATGCAATCACAGGAGGACATAAAAATACAAAGCGTATAAGGAATTCCTTCCTCAGAAAATCAGCTTGCTTAGTTTTTTTAAGTTAATTGTACATAGAACAGACTGTCACTGTCAGTAGGGTATATAAAAATGTCCTGACTTTTCTTAGAGAAATTATGAACCGAAACTACTCATAACCCATCCTATTTCTCTCCCTTGAATCATGTGGTTGCTTGCTCACTTTTTGCCCCGTGGAAATTAAGAGTACTAGCAAGGACACTCTCTCCTTTTTCCAGCTCTGTTCAGCACAAGGAGGTCCTGGCTGCTCTTTCTCCCAGTGCAGAGGTTGGCTTCTTGGCAATTCCTTTTCTCTACACTTAAGTGCTTGTTTTAATTCCTTTCTTAAGCTGGGGCTTTTCAACTTCAAGTTCCAATTTAACAGAACACTAAAATCAAATGCTGAGTAGTCTTTGAATAAATACTTAAAGTTCTTCACTAGCTGTCTGATACCAGATCCTGGAAATTAGAGAAATGCAAAAATTCTTTGTTATTAGGTCTTTCAACCTCTCTGACAGCAGGTGTGTAAAACTACTTTGACAGTTACACTATATTAAATGCAATGGGTGTATCAAAGTATTATGGTGTATGGAGTGTTCTTAAATTTGGGGATTTACAGGGAATTAGCAAAATATTTAGAGCTGTGTTCCCAAACGCCTGGGGAATTCTTAATTGGGTTGTAAGATGCCCCACATGGAAGGTTCCCAAAGTAAAATAAAGTTTCTCAAATATCTAGGCTCTGTTTCCTTTATTTTCAGTTTGATTGCTTATAAAGTTCAAACATAGCCTAGAAATTCGATGCATCTTTTTTATTTGTGGGTTTTGTTTGTTTTTTTTTGTTTTGTTTTGTTTTGTTTTTTTTTTAGAAGAAGCATTCCACCAATTCTATTCCCCTCCCTAGTGTTACTAACACATATTTTTGACCTTATCTCCATCTCAGCTATGATTTCTGTCTGGGATTGATACATTCTGTTCCAAAAACATTCATCATTATAAATGAAAGCCTGATTTACTTTGGCCGTCAGCTTAATTTCAGCATAATCTCCATAAGAAGATTAGCTGTGAGAACACTGAGCAGCACATTAACATTACTTTTTAAGGGTATGTTTTATTCAAAGAGTGAGATGCTTATTTTTCTTTGGACACAGTGGCACTGACAGAAACACAGGCAGATGTTTTGCAGAGGCACCTTGGCAGGTATGTTCCCTTTACATTATGAAAGGATCCATTTGTTTTTTCCATCCCCTGGTGGGGCAGGGAGTCACACCGTAAAGCAATTCTTTTGAAGAAGGCCACTGTTCACTTTTTGGCATGAATTAGAAACAGAAAGAAGAATGGGAAGCAAGAACATACTTGTATTCTAATCCATATGTACATCTATCTAATAAATAAAAGGCAGGAGAAGAGCAAATTAAGCTCAACTATGCAAAAGGCACTCAGAGAAAGGTGAAAGAGTACACACATTACATAGAGTGTGCTCCAAACTAAAGTGTATTATATAATTATTTTATATCAAACTAGATTTTTATAGGGAAGGCCACAGCTGCTGGCCTTCCTACCCATTTAATCTAGTTGAAAGTGATTTGCTGTGGACTTCTCTGTTTGACTGCTCATCTCCAGTACCCAAGGCATTGCCATCTCCCTTCCTCCTGTCCTGGGTGGAGGGGGCTCAGAGCTAGACCCTCTGTCCTTTTACACCCAAAGTTACTCCAGTGCACAGGAGGAGCAGTCCACCATCCCTACCATGATTCCATGTCTGAAGAGCCATTTGTCTCCAGCAAATACTGACAACAGAAGTCAAAGTAGCAAGTAAATAAATAAAACTTTTGTTTCAGGAGGGAATCTGGTCTTACCCAGGTGTGTACATTCTGCCTTTTCTTTCCTTCTTCATTTAATCATTGTAAATACACTGAGTAATGTTAATAAATTAGAGAATTTTAACATGTAATATTACTAAAAAGCACTGGAAGAATATTGCTATACTGAATAGCTTCTGCATGCAAAAGGTTGCTTGATTCTTCTCTCATCAAAAATTGGATGTTGCAGGACAATCTGAGATCTCCCTCCTTCCCTCTCTCCCTCCTATTTTTCCTTTAGCCTAGCATTTCTATGTGCTGGATTTGCTGTTTCAAAATATTATTTCTATTACATAGCAATTTTGGAATTGAAACTCTTATGTATCATAAAAAGCAGAGCTTCATAAATCTGGAAGACAGATGCTTATATTACTTATTAAAAATCATTAAGAAGCTCAGATTTGTATCTAGAATTGCATTTCTTCCCTATTTTGCTTGCTTGTTATTTTTAGTGTGTCTGAAATGAGTGACTGCTATCACTGGTTAAAACCAGACATAAGGTTACAGAAACTAGGCAATTTTCCCTGTGAAACTGCAGCAACTCACTGTTCTCCTTTTTTTGCTCCCTACTCCTGCCTTCATCTTTCTCTCTCTTTTACAGACAAGACTCACCTAGATTTAAACTGACAGTGCCCAGTCCAGCTATTAAAGAACATATAAACATAAAGATCAGATCTCTGCAGTAAAAGGCCGAAAAAAAGAACGGGAATATTCCTTGTCATGTTTCTCAGCCTTACTCCACGTGAGCAATTGCTGAAGCTGATGCAAATTCTCCACACAAAAGGCCAGCAGACTCTCTCCATGCAAAGAGCCAGCACCCCCTCTGCCTTCCAAGTCTGCAGGGGGGACCAAGGTTTCAGAGATATGTGCCTTCTTGTTAAGAACTGGGATGGTTCTGACTTATGTCTTTCCCATTTTTGTTAATATCTCTCTTCTGCCTAAAAACAATGTACTGCTAAGTGATAAAAATGAGGTCTTGAGGAAACTTTCAAAAGGACAGGGAGGTAAAGATCAAATAACTGCACAAGGTCATCAAAAGCAGAAATTAAAACTCTACATGACTACTTCTTATTAGAATTACTTTCTACAAAGAGTTACTTTCCAATGTCAAGACCTAAAATTTCTTCTATCAGTGTTTTGTAACTAGTTGAACATACTGTCAATGCATTACTGATGTATTTTTCCTTTCCAATGCCTTAAAATATAAAACACTAAAAAGATCAAAACCAGATACAAACCACAGCCAACACAATACCACAATAAAACCAGCCCTTTTCATCATTCTTCACACATAAATATCTTCCATCCTGCTGACTTGGAAACTTGTTTTGAGGTAGATCTGACTTTGAAGTTGTCAAAGGAAGCTGTGACAAATAGTCTGATGTAACTTTAATTCCGTTTTACCATTTACTGCAATCAAATGAACAGTAAATGAGGCCATATTACTGAGCTACAGTTAAAGGGATTTAGTTAAGTCCTGAAATAACCATATGGCCACATGAATAACCCCCTTAAAGAACATCTCTATAAAGGGAATTTCAAAGGATGCATATTTTTACTCCAGCAGCATTCTTGCTTTTAAGCTAATAGGACCATTATATAATTGTAAATTAGTGATAGGCAAAAAATGCTCCCTTTCTGGGGACCTGCAAGATACTTTTAGGTGGAACACTAGCTGTCAGATGGTATTTAAATCTTGTCAAATCTCAACACTAACTTGAGCTGAACAAGACACCTTCTTCCAATAATAAGTTTTTCTGGGAAAGGCCTGGCTGCCTCCTTTCTCACATTTTCAGAAAATGGCCATTGTCCCTGGCTCTGCTCCTCACTGTCAACCCTGAGACTTTTTCTGCTTTGAAAGGGTCCCTTCTTTCTGCTTCCTTAACCCAGCTGCCAGTCATCGGATTTCCTTTCCCCCTCATGTTTCCTGTAGGAACAGGACATATAGAAGCTTTCTGTCCTGCCACAGCGAGCTCTTCTGGACAGATAATACAGAAACACTACACCATATAGTAAGAAAACAGTAACTCCTTCATGTCTCAGTCTTGTTTAAACTAGTAAAAAGTACTGAAGCTGAGGAAATGAAAATTTTAATTTACCAATCTATTTGGTTAATGCTATCTTTTAGCTCCTCCAGAATATATCAGAATAATCAAGAAGTGATTGAAGAAAGTGATCTCAATTCCCCTGTGGTAGTTTTGAAAATTTGTATGACTATATTATACCCTTCAAATAAAATCAGAACCTCTTCCTTGACCTGAGGCTAGACCAAAAGGAAAATCTTTTGAGATAATAATATAGGTTTAACATTTTCTCTAGATGGGGCAGATTTCCAGAATTAAAGAGGATATTGCCAGGAAAGATCTACAAATGACTGTGAGTCAATGACTTCAATACAATCTCAATTTCTATCAGTCTCAATACATATATATATTTTGACCTATGTTGCCTGAGCCATAAGACCGTAATCAGCTTAGGGCCCTTCATGCCAAAGGCAGGGGTAACTTCATATGCACTGAACCACTCACATCTAATCGAGACTCCAGATTAGGATTTTGAGACAGCTGGAAACTTTTATTAAGTACTGGCACTTCTTAAAACTGCATTTGGATTGAGTCAAACTACATCAACTTAAAAAAAAAAAAAAAATCAAGGGGATTTTAAAGCTTACTATGCTGAGAAAACTAATCTTATTTTTATTTATTTTATTAGTACGCAAGCATACAGTCAAAAAGTTTGCAGGTTAACATTTTCTGTGAAGATAAACTTGTCCTTTTTTCTCAGAATCTCAAAGTAGTCTGTTCTATGCTTTAAAGTTGCTGTGTGTGTTTTTATGCATATATATATATATATATTTACACATAAAACCAGATAAAATACTAAGATTAAAAACTGTGTATTAGAATATTCGAAAGTGGAGGAAAAACTTAAAATTCAGTTTTAACCACTTAAATGGTTATAATGGTTCATCATTTAAATCATGTCCTCCATCAGGAGCATAATTTTCTAGTTTTCTTTCTTTTTTCATATTCTTGGCTGATTAGGTACACATAGCTCCTGGTTTCTTCTACAGATTCTGGGCACGGTCTGTGTGACACACAGAGATGCTCTTTTTGGATGCTTAATTTCAGTTTGTTCTCATTCTATAAATTGGTATGAAGCAAAAAATATACCCAGCCAAGGACTTGCAAGTTTTGTCTTCTAAGAGAACAGAGTTCACTACTTACAATAGAAAAACCTCTTAAGAATAAAAATAAAGAGTAACAACACTTCATATACAACATTCAGTGAAAAAAATCCATGCTGTGGGAGATATGTTTTGTGACTTACATCTGTTATCATTTTCCCTCTGGTCTTGTTTCTTTCCCTGTGGTTAGCTCGTTTCTGTTTTTGCTGCAGAACTCGTTCCCTGGTGGTGCGGTATTCCAGAGCAAATTCGCTAATAATTTTGCAGAACTTATTGATGTTGACTTCACGTATTGCATAGGGAGGATGGCCCATAAATAATAAAAATGAGTGAAACCTGGAAAACAATTAATTAATAAATGCAAAGGTAAAAAAAAAAAAACAAAAAAAAAAACCTTTCTCGAAAGGTTTCTAGGAAAAAAAAACAACAACCCACATTTCTCTGAATCCATTTATTACTTTATTAGCTCCCATAGTTTCTTTTGTGCTACAGAATTTTCATGGATGCTTTGCATAACACTGGTATGTTTTATAATTAAAACCATGAAAGTCTAGTCTATGATAACTTCATCCCAGTCCACTTTCTCAGGCTGATGCAGGAGATAAGATCTTTATGGAACTCCATCTACTTTATATGACTAATTTGGCATGTAAATGACCAATTTAATTTTGGTTATACAGAAAATATTTATTAAGTTTCAATTCTATTTATCTGTATTAAGCAACTTCAAAGAGGCTGTTAGGATGTTGGGGAAAGTCTAGACAAGAAAAATGCAGATTTACAGGCTAGCAAACACAAGAAGAAAAGAATTTCTAGTTCACAAAACTGACCATAAAAATTATATTATCTACCAAGTACTTTAGTTTGGGATACTCTCAATTCACAGTTTAACTGCTTCTGTGGCACTCAGAGCTTTCGCACTATTTACCACTTTTATTATTGCTTCTACATTGCATGATTTACAATAGCACACAAAATATTTTAAAATGTTTGTGAATCCCATTTAACTCCATCTATATCCCTGACAATAAAAAGTCTTCCCAATCCTAGAAAGATGCAATTACATGGATACAATTTTGGAGAAGCTTATAGTAGTAGTTGCAGCACATAATAGGCAAAGTTAATGTTTTTCTTATTTGTACCATCCATACGATAAACACAAGAGGGAGCTGGTGAATTCACTTCCCTTCCACTGCAACTGGGACTTGTGCTTACTTATGGCATGAAATAGAAGTCATTATGGAAGCAAAAGAAGAGCTGGATAGACTTTGCAAATGTAAATCCACAGATTTGAGATCATCTGGAAAACAGATCCTAACTTCCCAATTTTGAAATTCTTTAGAAGTTAGAAAATCTCTCAAAATTTCATTAATAAACAACAAGAACACAAATAAATTACCCAGATGACAAACTCATGCAGCTACAATTGTGAATCTGGGGGGGAAAAAAACAAGCTCAGGTGTTTCGCAAAATGATCATGAATATGAACATTTCAGAGCACTGCAATTACTCTTAATTCTACTAGATGAAACTAAATCCAATAGCAAGTCCTAAGGAGAGGAATCTTAATTCTCTCTGCTGCCGTATAGGCAAAGAATACATAGTCATTTGTCTCGCAAATAGGAGTAGTGCTGCCTCCAGAAGAACTCATTATACAAGACTGGTTTCATCTTCTGCATGTGACAAATCTGTCATTAGAACTTTAGTTTTTTGCCACAGCCTGTTCTTGTTTATCAGACAGCAAGCCAACCCCCCTCAAAAGTATTCAGGGAAAGACAGAAAATGTATCAACCTAACCATAAAGCTGATAGTTTGTGGGGACTAGGAGTTAAAGGACCCAATATTGCACCTCAGGAATAAATGATTGCCTGGATCGTTGCTTCTTTTCATCAGAAATACAGAAACCTTCTTTAGTGGGGATCTTTCTTAAATGGCATCTATAACAAAGTATGAACCACATACATCCTGGTAATGTTACTTGATGCAATGTAGATTAAACACTTATAAAAAATATTTCAGATGTTATAATTTTAGCAAGTCATTTATCATGAAGACATGGATGTCACGAATCTAATTCTGTACCTGTTAATTATTCTTCTATGAACAATCTTCAGGATTATGATTCTTTCTGCACAGTCTTTAAGGAATTCGGACATTTTTTGCTTTAGAGTTGGCTTCATTTCATGCTTTGCTATAGCCTTTAGGTGATCCCATGATGCTTTGCACCGCCTTTCCATCTGACACAAGTTTTCCTGGAGTTGTTCAAAGTCAACCTGAAAAAAAAAGGAAAGAAAATGTAGCACTTTAATTGAAAACACTGCAGTAGTATCCTTGGATATCTGAACAATGCAATTTATGTATAAGAAAGGGTCAATGTAGTGGCAGCGTAACATTAATTCACATTATTAATTACAACTAAATAACTAAGAATGGCTTTCTGTTGCACTTTGTCTAGACATGAAACATTAGTAAGAAAAAGTGAAAACAAAGAAATATACCCGTAGACATATATATTTGGTTTTGTTCTTGGAGGTCTAACACCTAAAGAAGGGACAATAAAATACTGTGATGTGTTTTTTTCCCATGCTAATAACTTCATGGCTACATCAAGCAACTGCATGACTCAGTCATTTCTTTCTCTTAATCCTTTTCTCTACTACTCATAGATTTTTATACCCTGCTTGTTGCTCACTGTTGTCTCCAGCCAACACTTCTCCAATTTAGGAATAACCTGGATCTACTCCCTAGCCATGCACTGACTTGTTAATAGATGATCTACTTCTAATCACAAAATTCACAGGCCAGAATTTTTTAAAGCTCTATTGAAAGTAAGTGTTATTTAGTGATCTCAGCACTAACTGAGATCGTGTATCCCTTGATACACAGTACGAATTTGCTGGCTTGTAATAAGATCATATAACGGCTTTGAAAGTCTCTCAACACAGTTAAAATGAATGACTGCATCCTACAGTAACATTCATCAGGATAGAAGCCAACACATTCCACAGAAGGTGAGAGAAAGCTTCTCCTTTACTCATCAACCAAAAAAGGTGTTGAAATCGCAATAGTCTACACAAGACATTCAGGATGCGTTGCTAACAACTGGACAAAATGCATTAACGACCCGGTCACAGCACATAGCAGATGAAAAAAGTAATGTGACCCCTGTTCTTGCATTCTGAAGAAAGGAAAAAAATATTTTATAATACCGCCTCACAGTTCAGATGAACTCAAGCTATAAAATACAGATTTAGGCTATAAAATACAGATTTAGCTCTCAAATTCTAAACACGTCAGTGTTTGCAATGTTACAGTCTGGTACTTCAGTTAATTCCTTAATGCTAAACAAAAACCAGTGTCAGAGACAGGTTTCAGTTCACTCTTTTTAGCTGTGTGCAGCACCCACTGCTCAAACCTATACTGAGGACAGCCATACGAAATGCATTATTATTAAAAAAGCTCCTGGTATTGATCTGATTTGTTTTTGCTGTGATTTATAAAGTGATGAATTTTTCCTCTTCACAAGGAAATAAAAACATCCTTTGATCCTGCTATTTAGAAAAGCCCTGCAGGCGGACCAGCTGTGGGGTTTTTGTTTTCCCTATATCCATATCAATGCATATGTTTTAAAAAGAAAAAAAAAAAAAAAGCAGTTCTTTCCAGGTCAGTATTTTTACTGTTGATGATAAACACATTGCTGCTCTCCATAGACTGTATATCTAAAACACACATGCGGAAAAATATAGCATTCCTATTAAGAAAAAAAAAGCCAAGAGGAGGTATTTCTAGGTCTTACTAGTAAGAATTATCCAACCTGTCTCAGGAAGTCTCTCACCCCCTGGAGCAGAGAAATGTAACTTCATGACATTTTATGACAGCTTTCATTGAAAACAGAATTAATTTTAATTTATGAAAAAGCTGTGACGTTCAAGCCTGTAGGGGTTCAAGAGACATTTCTGGAGAACCACATATCTGCAGGGAAATTCCCTGCCATATGAATTCTGCCAACAGCCAGTGCATTGTCAAGAGTGGGCAGTTTCAGTGGGGACTGGGGATGGCAGGTCTGGCTAAGGGGTGCACAGGAATCTTTAAGCACAATCAAAAATCCAGATTTCTGGGGAAGTCCTAAGAAGATCGCAGGAGGGAGAATACCACCTGAGCTCCCCTGGAATAAACCTCCACGGAGCACAGGTAGCTCTGCTCTAACAGAAGTTGTAAACTCCTGGAAGGAGTAAAGAAGGAAATTCAATACAGGATAATGTGTCTGTGCATTCCCCACGTGCAAACTGTCCCGTGCCCGCAAGAATGTGACAAACCTTGACAAAATCTAAAATCTACTGGCTGCCAGCTCCTCATAGATTGGTCACTTGTTAGTGGACAGAAAGGAAGATAATTCAGAAAAATATCCATATGTTGAATATCAAAAGTCAAAATTTTTCAGAGACAACCATGTACCCCACCTGATATTTCATGAAGGGCTCTTTCACCAATGCAAATTTTGCAGGCAGGCACAGAATCCATCACATTTCAGTCTCTCTAGGTCTTACATGCAAAGAAGTGAAGCTTCCTCACACGTGATAAACCATACAACATCCCTTTTCTATATCCAAGGTATAGAAACTGCCACCCAAGAGAGCACCAGAAAATGAAGTTAAAGATCTTTCTAAAAAAATCAAGCAACCAAACAAAAAGGCTAGCATTTATCAGCCTGCTGACAAGATTCTTCCTATGAGGTCTTACAGAAGTGAGATTTAAACATTTAGGCTGGATCAGCTCAAAGGGAAAATTCTGAAATTAAAAATATTTGGACACTTCTACTAAATGCATCAAAACATTTGACAGTTTGCAGCTTTGGAATATTACCTGGATGACATTTCAAACCACAGAAGACAAGTTTCCCTGCAACACTTGTTCTCCTAACAGCAATAGCACTAACGTGATGCTCTCCACAGTGTGGAGAAACAGTGAAATGTGACAACCACAGTCACCCTCACTCTATCTCCTCTCTCCTTAATTTACATTCCTTGTCCTCATGTTTCCTCTGCTATCTCCTTTTCTTCTTCAATGCTCATGTTCAGATAAGAAATTAGCCATAAACCTCATAGCACAGTAAAGCTAAAGATCCACTGACCACTGATATTCTAACTGGACTCCTGCAATTGCAGACACTTTGTACACAGGATCCAGGTGATGTTTTCTTCTAGGCTAGTGGAATATAATACCCAGGTTGCATGCCAGCAATGACTGTATCTTAAGTGTATCTACAAATCCTCACACAGACTGGCTTTCCATGACTACCTGAAATAGCAGTATGTATTATTAACTGACAAAATACACCAAAATCCAATTGAAGTAATACGCTCTTATTCTGCAAACTCTTACTTTTTCTAAGCCTTGTACTGTGCTGGAATATTAACCAAGACAGACAGCTTAATTATGATCACTAGATTCCACTGAAAAGCAGGAACCTGAGGAATCTGACATCCTCAGAACCTCTTCTCTCTTCACTGTGAAGCCAAATGCATCATGGAGATGAAGAAGTTTTTATCATATTCAAAGCAGCAGCAGTGCAATGACTATATGGCCAACAGGCCTCTCCATTTTATGCACATTTCTATCATAAAACAGCAGGTACTTACGTCAGTGGAAAATGTAAGTAAAATGCAAATCCATCTGAAAAGCAACAATGTAGCCTAATTTTAACTGAGGTAACTGACCAGGAAAGATGAGAACAGTGGTCCTAACCTAGACCTAATATTTGTGCACAAATGTTTAAAAGCAGTCATATTGTTTAGCAATATCCTTGTAGTTTCCTTTTTTTTTTTTTTTTTGGGTGGGGGGTGGGGGGGGTGTTTCATTGTTGCTACTATTGTTGTTCTGTTTAGGATGTCTTCTAACACTGAAATATATACAAACTACATGTCCCTGTGATAAGGAGAACAAGAACTTGTGTGGAGTAGTAATGACAATTATTCAATCTAATATGCTTACAGGAAACATGAAAAGGCATATATAATACCATACCACATCACTGCCAGTCCACACAGCATTCCCAAGGAAAGAAGGATTTCACTTTTTCATTTATATGCTTATTTCCAGCACTTTACTAAAAGAATTAAAGCTGCATAATGGTAGAAAGAGGTGATTCCTTTTTTTTTATTATTTTTTTATTCTTTCTTTCTTGAAAGGAAATATGCACCAATTTTTGCCTGCAGCTGGAAGGCCATATTGGGACTAAGGAGGAATTCAGGTGAGTTTCAGATCACATCGTGACTCCAGGAGACCTCAGCATAGGAGGTGCTTGGACAAGAACGGCTATGGCATTATTTTATAACTATGCTCCACTGAATAAAAGGAAGCAGTAATCTGAAATGGTCATTACAGCTTTCCCCCTGGCTAGCTGTTGTGCCCAGTCCCAGGTTTTGGAGGAAGGTGGTAACATACATTCTTCTTCCTCGTCAACTCAGTTCATGTATGTGCAAAAAACATGCAGCTTGCTGGTCCGGTCCCTGCTTACTGTTACCTTCTGCTAAAATTTAAAAAACAAATATCTTTTTTTTTTTTTTTCCTCAGGCAAAAGAATGAGCTATTTTAGGCTGTTATACAAAATAAAAATTGCTTTTCCTTCAGACACTGTGTAATGTTTATTTGCATTTGTAAACCAATTTAGAAAAAGCAACTTTCTAAATACTCCTGGGATATATTTGATACGTTCTTCCTTTCTCCTGCCAGGTTCCTCTCAATCCACAACCCTATTAGCTGAAAAATATTCAGAACTATTTGTTATTTATTTGTGAAATCTCTTGCTAGGCCTGCTGCTCAGTCTTCTGAGAAGTGCCTTTTAGACACTGTTGCATCAGAGTGGAGTAGATGGAGACAATCTATCCAAATAGGATTTAAAGACTAGTTTACGTGACACAAGCCCTGCAGGGTCAGCCTCATTCAGGAAACCATTGCTATAAGTCACTAATGGGCCACCTAAAAAAAAACCCCAAACAACTGTTTTTCAATTTAATGTACCAACATATTTTGCACAAATGACACTCAGACCAAGAATAAAACCCCTCAACCACGTGCCAGCAATGCCAGCACTCATTTTAATCTCTTTATATCATTATTTATTGCTTGCTACCATAGTAACAGATGACTCTGCCATAAACAAAACCAGAAAAAATTCTACCAGGTTTCCCACTTCACTGGGCTGAGACTTCAATATAGCATGATACACTTACTGCCCAAATGACTTCTGTTCTCACTGGTTTTCACCTGACTC